GAACTGGATATACAAATAGCTGTAGCCACTTAACAAGTGCGAAAATTAACGTGAGAACGACAGTGTCAGAGGATTTCATTTTCAATAATCACAATAGTGTCACTAGAGCACAACTGCGAGGGAAAACGTGCCATTTGAAGCGGACGAAGCGGACATCCGACGTGTATTCGAGAAATATGGGGCTGTTCATATGGCCCTACCAGGAAAGTAGGTGACAGAGGCCTATGCGGGACTACTCGAAAGCACCTTTACGCTCAAAATGACATTGAGACATCCTATACCCTCATATGTCTACCTTGAGGAGTTGAAAACAAAGGTAATGGTAGCATATGCTGGGCAGAGGCGTACGTGCCGCCTGTGCGGGGCATATGAACATATGGCGGCAGAGTAGGGGAAGCAGAAATAGGCGCCTGGGACGGCGAGAGGGGAAGCGCCTGCTAATGAGTGTGAGGTGCCTGAGGAAGACTGTAGTCAAGGTGGAGGATATGGTCATAAATGAAGTGAGGAGGTGGAGGTTACATCCATGGAAACGGGGGAGGGCATAGAGCCCCAAGGGTTAACCAACCCAACATCAGTACCGACGATGAGTAAAGAGGTGCAAGTGTGTGCCGAGGTGACCGCTATAGAGGCGGTGCTGGCGACGGTGTTGAGGGCTATGTTACAGCCTAACGAGGAGGGTCACACGGGGCAGGTGGCTGGGGTTGAGATGGAGGGAGTGATGTGTGAAAGGAAAGAGGAGCATGTGGCGTCTCTGACGGCATGTGCGGATGCCACAGCGGAATGTGAAGTGGAATACAGGATGGTGGAGGTGGAAGTCTCAGGACACGGCCATGCAGGAGGATGTCGTAACACGGAAAAGGGCGGCGGCGTCAGATTCGGACGATGTTCTAGTTATCCTATTTTTCTCAATTCAAAATTAATTATCAGAAGTCGTTTGATTTCATAAACCTTTAAAACTTTTTTTTTAATTACTGTTTTTTATTTATACTTGTGTTTATTTCTGATGATGACTCTCCCAGACTAACATTCCGTGACAGATATAATTATTGTCTGGGAAACATGTAAACATTTCCGAGTATCAACAGAATCAGCATCAATATGAACTGATTCAGATAGTGTTCATGTATCAAGAAACTCTGTAGTTGCTTGGCAAGGTTTAAGGGATAGTGACGGCAAAGCTGTCAGTGAAGTCAACAGCAACAGGCCACGAAAATAGGACACGTCCATGAAACTGGGAATATAGTACACGGTGTGTATATACACAATGACATGTATGTTTGTACATATGTACATTGTTTACATATTTTTTCGAGAAAACTCTCCGGGAATCTTTATCTACTGGCTGCATTAACCTGTACACAACATGTACGTATAATATATATATAATATATTTATATATATATATATATATAAATATATATATATATTATATATATATATATATGCAAGGAATTTGCAAGAGCAGACGTAGTATACACAAACACTGATCTTGGCAGAAGGAGACTCGAACCTACGAACCTTTGGAACAAGGTACGCAGTTTCTATATCCATTCTCACCACACTGGACCAAACTAGACGCCACGGTATTGGTCCTGTGTGGTGAGAATGGTAATAGCACTGCGTACCTTGTTCCAAGGTTCGTAGGTTCGAGTCTCCTTCAGCCAGAGATCAGTGTTTGTATATATATATATATATATATATATATATATATATATATATATATATATATATATATATATATATATTTCAACAAGTCGGCCGTCTCCCACCGAGGCAGGGTGACCCAAAAAAGAAAGAAAATCCCCAAAAAGAAAATACTTTCATCATCATTCAACACTTTCACCACACTCACACATTATCACTGTTTTTGCAGAGGTGCTCAGAATACAACAGTTTAGAAGCATACACATATAAAGATACACAACATACCCCTCCAAACTGCCAATATCCCAAACCCCTCCTTTAAAGTGCAGGCATTGTACTTCCCATTTCCAGGACTCAAGTCCGACTATATGAAAATAACCGGTTTCCCTGAATCCCTTCACTAAATATTACCCTACTCACACTCTAACAGATCGTCAGGTCCCAAGTACTATTCGTCTCCATTCACTCCTAACACGCTCATGCACGCTTGCTGGAAGTCCAAGACCCTTGCCCACAAAACCTCCTTTACCCCCTCTCTCCAACCCTTTCCAGGACGACCCCTACCCCTTCTTCCTTCCCCTATAGATTTATATGCTTTCCATGTCATTCTACTTTGATCCATTCTCTCTAAATGACTAAACCACCTCAACAATCCCTCTTCTGCCCTCTGACTAATACTTTTATTAACTCCACACCTTTTCCTAATTTCCACACTCCGAATTTTCTGCATAATATTTACACCGCACATTGCCCTTAAACAGGACATCTCCACTGCCTCCAACCGTCTCCTCGCTGCTGCATTTACCACCCAAGCTTCACATCCATATAAGAGTGTTGGTACTACTATACTTTCATACATTCCCTTCTTTGCCTCCATAGATAACGTTTTTTGACTCCACATATACCTCAACGCACCACTCACCTTTTTTCCCTCATCAATTCTATGGTTAACCTCATCCTTCATAAATCCATCCGCCGACACGTCAACTCCCAAGTATCTGAAAACATTCACTTCTTCCATACTCCTCCTCCCCAATTTGATATCCAATTTTTCTTTATCTAAATCATTTGATACCCTCATCACCTTACTCTTTTCTATGTTCACTTTCAACTTTCTACCTTTACACACACTCCCAAACTCGTCCACTGTCCTTTGCAGTTTTTCTTTAGAATCTCTCATAAGCACAGTATCATCAGCAAAAAGTAACTGTGTCAATTCCCACTCTGTATTTGATTTCGCATAATTTAATCCCACCCCTCTCCCGAGCACCCTAGCATTTACTTCTTTTACCACCCCATCTATAAATATATTAAACAACCATGGTGACATTACACATCCCTGTCTAAGACCTACTTTTACCGGGAAGTATTCTCCCTCTCTTCTACACACCCTAACCTGAGCCTCACTATCCTCGTAAAAACTCTTTACAGCATTTAGTAATTTACCACCTATTCCATATACTTGCAACATCTGCCACATTGCTCCTCTATCCGCTCTATCATATACTTTTTCTAAATCCATAAATGCAATAAAAACTTCCCTACCTTTATCTAAATACTGTTCACATATATGCTTCAATGTAAACACTTGATCTACACATCCCCTACCCACTCTGAAGCCTCCTTGCTCATCCGCAATCCTACATTCTGTCTTACCTCTAATTCTTTCAATTATATCCCTACCGTACACTTTTCCTGGTATACTCAGTAAACTTATTCCTCTATAATTTTTACAATCTCTTTTGTCCCCCTTCCCTTTATATAAAGGGACTATACATGCTCTCCGCCAATCCCTAGGTACCTTCCCCTCTTTCATACATTTATTCTGGCCACAAAATAGAGCGAAACACCAACGTCAAAGACCTGGGAGTGATCATGTCGGAGGATCTCACCTTCAAGGACCATAACATTGTATCAATCGCATCTGCTAGAAAAATGACAGGATGGATAATGAGAACCTTCAAAACTAGGGAGGCCAAGCCCATGATGACACTCTTCAGGTCACTTGTTCTATCTAGGCTGGAATATTGCTGCACACTAACAGCACCTTTCAAGGCAGGTGAAATTGCCGACCTAGAAAATGTACAGAGAACTTTCACGGCGCACATAACGGAGATAAAACACCTCAATTATTGGGAGCGCTTGAGGTTCCTAAACCTGTTATTCCTGGAACGCAGGAGGGAGAGATACATGATTATATACACCTGGAAAATCCTAGAGGGACTAGTACCGAACTTGCACACGAAAATTCACCCACTACGAAGCAAAAGACATTGGCAGACGATGCACCATCCCCCAATTGAAAAGCAGGGGTGTCACTAGCACGTTAAGAGACCATACAATAATTTGTCAGGGGCCCGAGACTGTTCAACTGCCTCCCAGCACACATAAGGGGTTACCAACAGACCCCTGGCAGTCTTCAAGCTGGCACTGGACAAGCACCTTAAAGTCAGTCCGGATCAGCCGGGCTGTGGCTCGTATGTTGGTTTGCGTGCAGCCAGCAGCAAACAGCCTGGTTGATCAGGCTCTGATCCACAGGAGGCCTGGTCTCAGACCGGGCCGCGGGGGCGTTGACCCCGGAACTCTCTCAGGTAAACTCCAGGTATATGTATATATATATATATATATATATATATATATATATATATATATATAAATATATATATATATATATATATAATATATATATATATAATATATAAATACACCCCTGCAACCACAAATAGGTGAGTACACACTTCACAGTGTATTTCATGTGTCATCGGACCTCCACTGTATAAATAAAATCCCTAAACTTCACTAAACCTCAACTTGTCTTTGTAGATGAATGGTTCAGAGAACCGACATGTTGATAAATTAGACACATGTGCAACTCTTGGGTATCTTTATTGAGGAAACGTTTCGCCACACAGTGGCTTCATCAGTCCATACAAAGGAGAAACTTGAAGAACAGGAGGAGAATGAGGTAATCAGTCCCTCAACCTTGAGTCGATGTGTTCAGTATATCAATCTTGAGTAGAATACGGCAATGAGCGGAGAAGCAGCTTATAAACCGTATGGCAGGAGAGGTGCAGCAGTCATAGGTGGTGTCACATTTGTTCAATGTGGAAGTAGGTCGTGCCCAAGAATTAGGCACCTCTCCTGCCATACGGTTTATAAGCTGCTTCTCCGCTCACATGCCGTATTCTACTCAAGATTGATGGACTGAACACATCGACTCAAGGTTGAGGGACTGATTACCTCATTCTCCTCCTATTCTTCAAGTTTCTCCTATGTATGGACTGATGAAGCCACTGTGTGGCGAAACGTTTCCTCAATAAAGATACCCAAGAGTTGCACATGTGTCTAATTTATCATCTTGTCTTAAAAATATTGACGTTAAACAATCATTTTTACCATTCTGCCACAGAGGGGGAAATATATTTTTTTGTAAAATGTCACTTTTTATTATTAGTAAATAATTTAAATACGCAATAATTCTTTTCAACTGCACTTTTTTCCAGTACTGTCATATGACAGTACTTTCACTAGTCCAGGATTCACTGAGAGACGTGGCTACGTTACTGAACGCCGTCTCGTTCTCTATGAACGTCCTGTTTCCAACGTGCATTCCGGTTTCTGTTGATTTATTTTTGTCTGTGAACGCTTCACTTTGTACGATGGCGCCGTTTTCTCTTCTATGTTTGTTTTCTAGGCTGGTGTCCTCGTCTCTCGGGCCATTGGTTACTGTCGACCAATTATTCGACTCTTCCCCCGGATAGAAGGCTTCGTTTACGTAGCTTATATAATATTTGAGAGTAACTGGCGAGTCCTTATTCTGAAAGAAAAGAATGAATAATGTATTTATTGTATTAAGAGAAAGAAGAGGAAGTTTTCTTTATTAGCTTGTGCTCTCTAAGTCAAATTTATCCCACCCAACACACTCCCATCTTATAAAAAATTTTAATAGCCCCCCCCCCAAAACAGTTGAGTTAACGTCCAAAATATAACGAGTTCAATTTTATTATTGATTCGTATAACCAGAGAACTCTAGTAATAAGAAAAAATATATACATGCAAAAGAGAAAAAAAATAATCTGGATAAAATAGCTTTCAATGCTAAATATCCGTTAAGGGGCACGTAAATACCCCCGTCTTCTAATAACATGTTCATTTTTCCCATATATTAGAGGACAAGGGTACTTACGTGCCCCTTAAATGTCTACAAATGGCTGAGTAATCTAAGGAGCCTCCGCTTCTAACCTAAACTCTGTAGATAAAAACACTAACACCAGCTCGCTGGTGTATATATTTTATGTTAATGTGCGTGTACAGCTATACATCTATATAAGAGATTATATAGCATGTACTGTCACTCTCATCTCCCTGAGTCTCGTCTCTCTCTATTTCACTGTGCATAATCTCTCTGCCTCGCTCCCCACATTCATTTTCTCTATCTCTCACCCACCTTTCTGCGTCGCTCTTCTACTCTGACGTCGGTGAAGGAGTCACAGACCTTCACTACAAGGTCAGGAAGGAGGCAGACGACCCCCAGAAGCATCGACCCCAGCATGATGGAGGAACTCTGGAACATGCGGTAGTAGCTCCAGTAGACGCCGTAGTTGCTGAAGAAGTCACTGTCAGCGGCCATTATAATTATTATTATTAACAGTAGTAGTAGTAGTAGTAGTAGTAGTAGTAGTAGTAGTGTAGTAGTAGTAGTAATATTATTATTATTACTGTTGTATCTGAGAAAAGAAGTACTGAAGTAATATGTCTTACAATAAAAAAGTGGCTTAGCTATAAGGTTAAGGGTTAACGGAGTTAGAGAGGGAGTAACATCATAATGAAAGTCAGCATCAAAGATGAGGCTGCCGGCAATAGAAGGGTTGTCAGAGTTAATGCGTCAGAACACTGAAAACGACAAAGGTTAGTCCTGCATGTTCTCTGGAAGACAAAACTGTTTATTAATATGTGATGCACTTAAACTGGCCAGTCAGGGATCTATCCACTGGACCACTGTTGACCTAGTGGTTAGAATGTCGTGAATTTTGACTTGCTTCCCACTAGGCGGGCTAAAATAACACGAGTTCGATCCCCGGCTAGCCGCAGTTTGTTATTTTCTTACTTGGAGAGTGTTTCGAGGGTCAACGCCCCCGGGGCACGGTCCGTAACCAGGCTTGGCTAAAAACCGCTTGTTCATGGTTGCATTAATATGTGATGCACTATTAAGGACGTCTGGTAGTCCTGGTAGAGGGATACCCGGAGTGTTTTCATATGATATCCTTTCACAAACCCTCCAAAATTCTTTTAACAACCTTTGCAACCTCTCCTCCTAATCTCCCAAAAAGAATCATGTCAATGGCAAAAGACAATTGTGACGACTCCCACTGCCTACCATATTCATTATTTTTCAATGCCTCACCTCTCACTAACACCCCAGCGTTCACTTATTTTACAACCGCACCAAAATACGTTAAACAACAATGGTGACATTCTAAAGCTCTACTAATTACTCTTAAAGAATCTCTCTCTCTCTCTCTCTCTCTCTCTCTCTCTCTCCTCTCTCTCTCTCTCTCTCTCTCTCTCTCTCTCTCTCTCTCTCTCTCTCTCTCTCCTACATAGCCTAACCCGCGCCTTCCTAGCCTCATAAAAGCTCTTTATTAGTAGCTTTCAGTATTCTACTTCTTATTCCATACATTTGCAACATCTTCCACATTGCTCACTTATCCACCCATTCACTTGACTTTTATATATCCATAAATGTGATGAAGAGTTCCTTACTGTTATCTAAGTATTCTCCACTGTAGTTCTTCATTGTAAACACTTGGCCTACACATCCCCCACACTTCCTTTGATCGCGGGTTCTAACCCCACCCGAGGTATGGTTTGGAAGTTAAGTAGGCTCCTTGATAATGGCTAAATTAGTTAATAATACTTTTCACTCTGGTTATGTGTATATATGCCTACATGGCCATTAAAAAATCTAAAATATGAGGAACTGTTGGTATAACATGTTATGTCATTTCTGTTTTAAATTATTATATAGTTTTCTGTGAGCGTACAGATGTGGAACTAAAATCAAATATTAAATTTAAAAAAAAAAATCAATGAAGAAATTTAACCAAAGTGGTTCATCTTTAGATAAATGCACCACCATAAATAAATTACTGGAGTTGTGTCCGCCAGGTCATGAATGATCATAATATTCAATACCAATACAGAAGTGAGATCAACACCATGCCTAACCCTTCTAGGGTAGGGTAGGTGCCTGAACCCGAGCCTTTAGCTCATAAGACTGTCATTCCCATTAGCCCCCTTGGGGCGGGGATGGCAGACCAGAGAGGCCTAGCTTGTGGCTAGGCCTGGGGACAGTTGGTCCCAAAGATGAGTAGGTACTTGTGCCTCCTCCCATGGGAGACTTAGGTCTCAGACACTCCCTAAAGAGGGAGCCAAGGCCGGGCCACCACTTGGACGAGGCCCGGGCCGGGAGAATACCGGCTAATATTTAACTAACTACTACAGAAATGAATATTTGATACTTCAGAAGAAAGGAAATTTGAAGTTACAGTACCAGAACACAAGGCGAATATAAGATACACATGACCTGGGTGAGTGCTTTAAGGGGAACCAGACCTTAGGAAGACTTACCTGAGGAAGCCCTGGTAGACGAGAGTAACAACAGCGTAGCCTAGCAAGGTAGCGATCACTGACCAGAAGAAAAACTGCGTGAAATATCGCACTTCCAGGACCAGCTGTGTACACCATCCAAGGTGTCAACATGATTGTAGTAATTATTTATATTTTCGTTTATACTAATACTAATAATAATAGTATATTAATGATAATAATGATAATATAATAATATATAATAATAAATAATTTAATAATAATAATAATAATAATAATAATAATAAATAATAATAATAAATAATAATAATTATAATAATAATAATAATAATAATATAATAATAATAATAATATAATAATAATAATAATAATAATAATAATAATAATAATAATAATAATAATAATAATAATAATAATAATAATAATAATAACAATAATATAATAATAATATAATAAATAATAATAATAATAAAATAATAATAATAATAATAATAACAACAACAATAATGTGAATGAGACATATGCACTAACTGGGTATCTTTCTTATCAAGACGTTTCGCCAGCCAGTGAGTGACTTGATCAGTTCAATACAGAGTGTATTCGAAAGTGTTCAAGATGGAGACAGTAGAAAACGAGGTAATCAGTCCCTCACCTTATATGAAAGGTATATAAATATATGCCTTAGTCTTGAGGAAACTACAGTATGCGCAGATCAATGCAGGTCCATCAGGAAACAGCATAAGTGTTTCCTGACGCGGGTCTTAGCCAAATAATGACCCGCAACTGGAGTTTTTGGTCATCTGACCGAGGCCTTCCAATGGCTTACCGGTCCACCCTTTATATGGGAGTGAGATGAGGTGCATTTGGTATAAGACATCTTCCTGCTATACTTTAGCTTCATTCAGACTTCGTGAAGAGCGCCTTCATCCAGGGGATGCTATTCTGTTTTATTCATAGCTTGATACTGAATACCGTTACTGATCAAGGGCTCTAATTACTAGGGCCCCCAGGAGATACTTTAGTATACATTGCCTAATGTTTTTGGGTCTACTGTATGAGAAGGGGTTGCGAAGGGGTCCTATAACAGTTCAAGCTTCAGGGCCCACAAAATGTAGGTCCGTCACCTCCTTACACAGTAATGATCATCACATTCCGTACCAGATCTTGCTTGCACCACCACCATCTATCCCTCACCACTGACTGCACCTACTTAGCTGCAGTCAGTGGTGAGGGCTACAGTTAGTGATCACTATGATACATTTAGACTGGATCCCGTGGTCCTTTGATCCTCTGTCCAGCACTCTGCAGCACTCTACTTTACCACCACCAGGAAAGGTTTTTCAGTACGTTGGTATAGTACTACTGTAATAAAGATATACGATACTGACAAGTAGATAAGTACGACACATGTTAAACAGCTGTGTATCGTTATTCAGAAATGTTTCACCTATTAAGTAGGTGAAAATCTTCGAAATAAGGATACCTAACTGTTGCACATGAGTCTTAGCTACACTGGTAGAGTTCTGAGTTGGAGATCAGAGGACTTGCTGACCATACAATCGCTTCTCGACATTCAGTTGAGTTCTTGCACTAGTTACTTAGGATTTCTCGGGTCACACACACACACACACACACACACACACACACACACACACACACACACACACACACAACACACAACACACACATCACAAACAACCATTAAATATATAGAATATTAATGTATATAATATATAATATAATATGATAGTATAATTATATGAAGTGATTTCTATATTTCATATGATATATATATATATATATATATATATATATATATATATATATATATATATATATATATATATATATATATATATATACCACAAAATATGTATTCACCCTCCCTGCTACCTCCCTTTCTTAGCTAAACCCACCTTGAGGTTGATGACGAAGACACAGATAGAGACGAGGGTAGTGCCAAAGAGACCCAGGTCTGGAGTCTGAGCGTCGGGCAGTCCACAGGTGTCGTCGAAACATACGAACATCAGTCCGAAGTACATTACACAAGTATGCCAGAGAGCTGCAGGTGTGAGAGGGAAGTCAGGTCAAGGTGAGAGGAAGAAAAGGGTGGGATTAATAATGTTAGGGGACGGGAAGTGTTGGAGAGGTTATAGGAAAATGGGAGCATGGGTTGGGGTCACATACACATCAGCGCTCACATTTACTTACATTCAACATCCACATCCACAATCAATACCCACATCTCTACGTCAGAAGCCGAGATCCAACCCCTGCAAGGACAACTAGGCGAGTACACACATCCACACTTCAACACCCACACCTCTACACTAGGTAAGTACAGGCATCCACTCTTTTGAATCCATACCTCTACAGTAGATGAGTACATACATCCACACTTCAAAGCTCACACATCTACATTATGTTAGGTAAGTTAAGATTCGTCAAGGAAACAGGACAAGTGTTTCCTGACGCGGGTCCTAGTCGGATGATGACCCGCCGTTGGAGCTTTTGATCATTTGACCGAGGCCTCCCGTTGGCTTACCGTTCCACCCTTTTAAAAATTATGGTTATAGTTATAGCCATTTAGAACATCACATTAAGTAAATACCTACAACCCCCTTCCCTTCCCGTTCAGAACTTATACTTCGACTCTAGACTAGTGTCCAGAAGCATGACCATCTCATGACTATCACTCCACTCCCCATAAGATTTTGAAACTCCATCTTCTCAGGTGCTCACCGAAGCAGTTCCACTTGAAGAAGTTGAACCAGGACATAGCAGAATTTTTAGCGTTGTTCCTGTAGAGCTCAGCTCTATCAAGAAGCAGCTCCGGTGGCAGGTTCTGGTCGAAGAGGCCGTAGATGATGATAGGAAGCGAGGTGAACGTTATGTTGAACATGGTCAGAGCCAGACTCTCGTATATACTCTGACACGGCCAGAAAGAAGCATATATAATTATTATTATTATCAGAGGACGTGACTGTCATAATGGTAATACAATACCGGCAAGTTGATTATGAAGATGCGCATGTGGAACATTTAGGAACCTTCATTTTGAAACGTTTCGCCTACACAGCAGGCTTCTTCAGTCGAGTTATGTGAAAGGACACAAGTGAAACTAATACGACATTTTATTGTGGCAACGTTTCTCTCTCCAGGAGAGCGAAACGTTGCCACAATAAAGTGTAACATTAGATGCACTTGTGTCCTTGCACTCAACATGTCAGTAATTCTAGTAATCATTAATATATTCTTCAGTCGAATACAGAGGAGACAGAGGAAGCAGGAGAGATATAGGAACGATGTAATCAGTCCATCACCCTTGAAACTGTCTTCGAGGGTAAAGGACTGATAACTTCGCCTTTATATCTCTGCTACTTCAGCTGCCTCTGTATTCAACTAAAGAATCCTACTGTATAGGCGAAACATCTTTGAAAAAATATATCGAAATGTTGCACATGTGTCTTACTTATTATAAGAGGAATCATCATGATTATAATCATGGGATATTATCACACGAGGGGAGATAACAAAATTATGGGGTTGGATGTGACCTGAATGTGACCTGACCCTAACTAGGTTAGGGCATTGGCTCAAGCCGGTAGGAGACTTGGAACCTGCCTCGCATGGGCCAGTGGGCTTGTTGAGGGATTCCTTCTTTCCTATTTTATTGTAAATATTTTTACAGCGCTCGGGAATGAGAGAGCCGTCAGTCGTTCAGCGTCATCTTCACAACCGAAACATAAATTATACACGGAAACTCAACCACATTCCGGCTAGGCCTGTCGCACGGATTAGTTACTTGTTACTTAACACTAGTAACACAAGACGGGTTTGTTTACTGGTCTAAGGGTCAGTGACTACACCAGGACGCTACTTAACACTAGTAACACAAGACGGGTTTGTTTACTGGTCTAAGGGTCAGTGACTACACCAGGACGCTACTTAACACTAGTAACACAAGACGGGTTTGTTTACTGGTCTAAGGGTCAGTGACTGCACCAGGACGCTGACACACACATCCCCAAACAGTTCTCCCTCAAGCTGCTAGCAAATTCGCTGACCTCTTGAAGAAAGTCAGTGATGCCCCTGTAAACAACGGATCCTGGCACAAGGTATTGGGCAGTGGTTGTCTGGGTGTCCCACCAAGGAGGGACAAGTCACTAGCAGCATCTGTTATTAGGGCAATAATTGCATTCCCTAGAGATGATTATTAATTTCTGATATATATTCACTGTCCTTCTGTTTTTCATTGTTTTTCAGTAATTATTCATAATTTTACCAGCATTCTATAATTTATTCCTTTTGCTTGTTCCTGAAATTCCAACTGATTGATAATTGATTTTCAGAGTGAAATATATTATAATTCATTGTTTTTCATATTTTTTTATATATTGTCATAATTCTTGTATTCTGCTTACCTTATCTTCATCATTTATTATTCAATATTTGTATATTTTGTTTAGTGTGTTTAATTTTACATAATTTCTTATCTGCCACGTTTAACTTTTATACTGTAATATTTTTGATAAGGTAACAAAAGGACCCCAATGGGAATAAGTCACACTGACTCTTTTTTTTGGGTTATCCCAGGTTTTCTACACATATGTTGCTATGTATGATAATCTATGTAACTGTGTTTGTGTATACCTGAATAAACTTACTTATACAAGACTAACACTGAGGTTATCTGCTGAGGAAGATAGGCTTCATTCTAGCTACCTCGAGTTTTGTCTAGATAGATGAAATTAGGATAGTACAGCAGATGATTTAGGATATTAGGATAGTACAGTAGATAGTTCAGTACATTAGGATTGGACAGCAGATAGTACAAAACGGATTAAAGCGTCGTTTAATTTCCATTTGGTGGATTATTTGTTAATTATTCCAGCCACGGTTCTGACTAATATTTGTAAAATACTCCCACTCTATCTCCTCGCTTTCGTCTCTCTTCCTGTTCTCCTCTCTTACCCCGTCGCTTCAATTCCTCATCTCCTACCTGAGTGGAGAAAGCGTTCCAGATAGCGAAGAAGATCTGCGGTGTGATAAAGGCGACGTTCTTGTAGAAGGAGTACTGGACTAGCGTAGAGACCCTGATGTAGTACCAGTGGCCGTGGACCAGCAACACCTTCTTCAGGAAGCGGAACCTGGCGAAGGCGAAGTCGGAGCACCTCACCGCCTGCCGTCCTTCCTTGCCCATCACTCCTGCCCACAACAAACTTCCAGTTAAATAAACAACCCGGTTGCTATAGCCTGCAATTACATTTCGGTTTCTATAGCTTGTTAGGTTATTACATATGGATAAATTTCACCACTGCTTATTGATTATTATTATTATATTCAAGGGGGAAGCGTCAGGGGATGATGGGAGATGATCAAGATTGTGTTTTAGGTCAAAGGATACAAATGCAAATAATGCAACATTTTACTGTGGCAACGTTTCGCTCTCCAGAAGCATAGTAAAGCCGTTGCAACATTAAAATGTCGCATTAGTTGCACGTGTTCTGTTACCTAACATTTTCGGTACTTCTACCATCATTATAATAATCAAGTTTGATCAGAGTGAAGGGAAGTTAGTTTTAGTTCCGTGGAAGAAGAGAGATTCACTAGTACATAGGCACGTTACTAGGACTGTTAAGGGGAGATTTACCTAAGCCGACGTGGGCCTCCTGGATCATGGAGACGTCGTTAGCGCCGTCACCTATGGCAGCACAGACGGGAGACTCCTTAGACTTCTTCACCAACCGCACCGTCTGCATTATTATTATTATTATTATTAGCAGTAGTAGTAGTAGTAGTAGTAGTAGTAGTAGTAGTAGTAGTAGTAGTAGTAGTAGTAGTAGTAGTAGTAGTAGTAGTAGTAGTGGTGGTAGTAAACTGTGAAGCGTTGACAGGGAAGCACTTCCCTTGTATTCGTCATTCAGCTGACGTAAACACAGACTTATTGCAGTAGTAGCATTTTGCAGGGATGCTCTTAATAATATATACAATGGCCCTTTTTTACACAAATCAGTTATTCAGGTTAAAAACTGTTATCCAAACTCAGCTCATTTCAAAGCCCAGCCTTGTCTAAGGATCCAACCCACAACAGCCGACTAACACCCAGATACCTACTTACTGCTAGGTGAACAAGGGCAACAGGTGTAAGGGAACATGCCCAACGTTTCCACTCCCAGATCTTCACAGATATATCCCAGCAGACGAAATAAAAATGTTAATGAAAATGCTCCTTTCACTGCTGACACAAATTGCAGATACACCTAGACGAGGCTGTGATCCATCCAAGACCATCACAAAGTTCCATTTTTAAGAATTATAGAAGACGGACCGAAACGTAGTCTTGTTTATATTTCCATCTTGTGTATTAGTTGTGAATTGTTCAAGCTATGATGATGTGACTTACTTACTTAAGGAGAACGTAAAATTAAGCTAAACGACATGTTCTATAGAATTCAGTCGGTCGTGGGGCTACAATAACTTAATTCTTATTAAATGACAATGCGTTCGACGACTTTATTTTAAGCAATGTCGTAATCGCAGCCTCCAATGTGTAAATAAATAAAAAAAAAGTCGATATTGAAAGATGTGATATAAATGGCTTAGAAATGAGACACATGTGTAATATTCCCAAATGCTGCAGAGGTGTCACATTCTTCAAGACGAAAGTAATTACATTCTAAACACAAATGATCTGCACATGGGAGGGAGAAGCTTACGACGACGCTTCCGGTCCGACTTGAAGTATTTACAAAGTCACACAAAGACACATCTGGTAGTACTCCTCCTTCAAGCTGTCGTACAGCATCTACAGTGTGACTGTCGTAAATTGTCCAAGTCGGACCGAAAACGTCGTTGTAAGCTTCTCTCTCCTATGTACGAGTTATTGTATATGGTTACATTCCATTAGCTACCTCGTATGCACTATTCGGTTTTCAGCAATAAATTTGTTCTTTAGACCATCACCTCGGCTTTTTGCCTGGGAGACATCCTGCAGCAGACGACGGCAGTGCACCTACGACACACCTGGTAGAACTCCTCCTTCAGGTTGCCGTACAGCAGCTGCAGCGACGCTCCGTCCACCACCAGACCGTAGAAGGAGTCTTCAGTTATATCTTCCCTGGCAAGATGGAGGGACACAGCCTCGTCAAGTACACACGACACTACCACATTGACGTCATGCAGCAATAATTTGATGGTAAATATTTACTTGAGTTAAAAATTATTCAGATATACAATTTTATATATGTTGAAAGATCACTTAAATATGCATACAGAGTTAGGATACGTAATATTAACATTAACATAAATATAGATTGACGCATATACATGCATGTATACGCAAACACAGACAAACAAATACACACACACACACATACATATATTTATATCAGTTAAAAATAAATGGAAAAAGAGAAGAAAACAAAATGGCTACCAAAAGTATTAAATAATAAACGAAAAGAGATATAAGGAGCTGTTTTTAATAGAGTAACAAAGGCACAATTCACACATAGTTTATCAGGACACTGATAAAAGGGACAAATATGAAGGAGCGATAACCATATTTAAGCAACCAGGGAAAACAGCAGATCGACTGGCAGATTTATGAAGATTTTATACATAAGCCTAGATAGGCTGAGCTAAAAAACACTAAAACCAATTAGGTAAACAGACTAGTATAATGAAACCAGCGAGTATAACTTGAAACCAGAGAGTATAACTGAAACCAGATGAGTATAATTGAAACCAGACGAGTATAACTGAAACCAGACGAGTATAACTGAAACCAGATGAGTATAACTGAAACCAGACGAGTATAAATGAAAAAATGGTAAAACCAACAAGAGTATAACTTGAAACCAGATGAGTATAACTGAAACCAGATGAGTATAACTGAAACCAGATGAGTATAACTGAAACCAGATGAGTATAACTGAAACCAGACGAGTATAACTGAAACCAGATGAGTATAACTGAAGCCAGAAGTATAACTGAAACCAGATGAGTATAATGAAACCAGACGAGTATAACTGAAAAAGAGATATAATTGAAACCAACGAGTAAACTGAAACCGAAAGATATAACTGAAACCAGAGTATAAATTGAAACCAGACGAGTATAACTGAAAAAACTGAGAAAATTCAACATGGATATGGTATAAGAAACCAGACAGGAGATTGACAAAACCTGAAATATAATTACAAGATTACAGAAACCCAAACCAATGAGTAAAAAACCAAATATAATTACAGATAGAAACGAAATATAAACAGCGATAAAACAAAATCCAATACAGTATAAACCGAAACCTAATACACTAACAGAATCGAATTCAATTAACATAAAACGAAATCTGAAAACCAGCACACACAAAATGTCAAATTAATTTGTTAAAGCCACAGATAGTATAACAATGAAATAGTTAACTAACAAAGAACATAATTAACTACCTAACTGGTTGAAATGTCAGAAATAAGCGACGTATATAACGCGAAACCAGAGAAATATACTGAACAGAAGAAAGACTGAGAAACATAAGTTTAACGAATCATAAGAAGTATGACCGGCCCGGTGCTAAGAACCCATAAAGACCCCGGGTTTGATTCGGAGTAAACATTTCGGACACGGGTTTACCAAAACCTTGTTGTTCACATAGCACAATTAGGTAATTTGGGGGTTATCGAATTGGTATAAAACGAAAACAATTAAGGTTACATTGAAATAAGTTAGACAGTCCATGAGACGAAATCTATGGAAACCAATCTAACCTACGGGTTAAAAACCGAAACAATCAGCTTAAGGAAAATGGAATGAGAGACTGGGAAAGCGCAAAAGCAACAAAAACTACTGTCGAGAATAAAATTTTTCAAGCCCCTGCTATGTTAACACTGTTCATAAGTAAGTAAGCGAAAGATTAAAATACTGATAATGATGATGAAAAGTATATAAAAATACTTTTTAATATAAAATCTACTTAACGAGAAATCTGTTAAACAGAAGAAACTGGCTACTGACCTAATTTTTTGGAAATTGAGCATTTCAGCAAATTAGGTAACTTTGCCCAGGATGTGACCCCAGAAGAGCCAGTAACCTATTTTACTGAAGCATACCAGGATAATTCTTAAGGAACCACGTCTAACGTTTACACCTTACCGAATCAACAGGATCGTGTGTGAATCACTAAGAATGAGCTCAGAACAAAATAATATTAAAAATACAGATAAAAGATTAAAATCAGAGAAACGAA